CATTCCCCCCCCCCCCGCCCGCCGCCGACGTTTGTGCCGTGCGTTCGTACCAGAACTTCGTGGCGGATCTAGCCCTTGGTCACAGAGGTGCACCCTGGAGGCCGAAACAAATGTCCCAAGCGGTTGGGGAAACCTCAACCTCGATCCCGATCCTCGATCCTTGTTTGACGACGGCGGCAGGCTCCTGGAACAGGAGCTTGGCGTTCTGGGACGGGTCGTAGCACGCGAGCCGCAGCGTCTCCCTGTCTTCCTCGGACCTCAGCAGCGCGAGAGGGAGGAGCCAAGCATGATCACTACGCACGAGTCACCATGGGCACCATCCTGCGTTGGGCTCCAATTGCCCTGAGCAACGACAGGCAGAATCAACAACGACCAGAAGTTCAATAAGAATGGCACGCCTAGGAATGAAGACGAGGAGGAGGAGGAGGAGGAGGAGGAGGAGGAGCAACAAAAAGGAGGAGGAAACTGTCGAGCATCACGATCGAAGAAGAAGAAGAGGATCAACGATCAAGATAGAGGTGGAGGTTCTGTAACGTTTCCGCATCCTGGATTTCGGGGCATCTGGGGGCCTCCGGAGACGGAATGAGTGGACGAAGAATACGACCAATGTCCTCCCCTTCCTACTACCTCACCGTGAATCCTCGTTCCTGCTCCTCCTGCTGCCTTTCCCCCTTCTCGTCCCCTCTCTCGTCAGTCTCCACCTATGTCTCTCAAACCTCTTCCTCCTCCTCCTGCTCCTCATCTCCCCCCCCTTCCCTCACCCTCACCCCTCTCATCACTTCATCAATTGCATTGCCCGCAGATCCGCATCCGCTCTTACCAGGACCTCGGGACCTCGGAACGACCACTAGGAGCAGAGGGTAAGGAGGAGGAGAAGGGGGAGCATGTTCTAGGCGGCCTTCGTTTTAGGTTTGGGGGCGCAGGGTATTCTCGAACGTTCCTGAAGGGACAAGGGTGATGCACTTGAGGCCAAGCTGCAGCTCCCTCTGTCATTTGCCTGGGGGCAAGCAGATTCAAGGCAAAATCGGCACACATGGTAGGCACACTCCCACTTCGGGGAGGATGGAAGAAGAGACCGAGAGCGACAGGAGAGGAGGGGGAGGAAGACGAGGAGCGGAAGGAGCGGAGGAGAGAAGGGGTGGCGAGGAGAAGAACAGGCGAAGGTGAAGAAAGGTACGGTCTACAAGCGTGTGCGATGCCCACGGCGACAAACGACGACCGACGACGACTGGCGACCCATGAACCTGTCCTGGTGCGCGTTCTGACCACAACGTCGAGGCGGAGCCAGCCGCGGCCACGAGGAGGCCCCGAGCAGAAGACGGCCGAGAGAACGCCCCAAGACCTCGACACTCGGACGCCGACGACGAAAGCGCTGACGACGACGACGCGGCCCTCGAGGAGGATCACGACGATGCCGACGGCAGCAACGGCAGGGCGGCGCCGCGGTGTCTGGAGTGCGCCCCTCCCGTCAGTGGGGCGTCCAGCGCCGACCCACCAATCCCGCGCAGGCCTCCGAGGGTTCGAGGTCCTCGTGCCGCGTTCTGCTCCCTGAGCCCAGAGGCTCGATCGCCACAGGCGTCGATCCCCCCCCTCCCTGGCCAGGCCGCGCGCCGAGGCAGGTTGCAGAGGGAGGGGGAGGAAAACGAGCAGGAGGAGAGGAGGGACGATGAAGGAGGAAGAGGGAGGAGGAGGGAGACGGGAGGGGGAGGGGGGAGGAACCAGGAGAACGATCGTCCTGCCAAGCCGGCTGGGCACCAGGGCATGTTGCGGAGCGGCGCGTACACCGGCGGGTCTGGGCACCAGCTCATGTCCTGCGGGAGGGGGGCGATCAGAGCGACGCCGCGCACTCGCCCCGTGCCCAGGCAAGGGTTACAACAACTACGCAAGGACACTCTCTCAGGCCACCCTGGCGGGGCCCGTGGGAGTGTCCTCGCCCCCGGGGCGAGCGCACTGCCCCAGGCCACACGTTGCAGTTGTTGCCCCGGGGGGGGGGGGAGCAACGCGCAATACCTCTGTCATACGCTAACGTAAATCTATATGTGGTTCCGAATCTCCGTTGGCTCCCTTACTCTTCCCCACTAGGGTTCCTATGAAATCGTGCAGGACCCTGTAAGGATCCTATGGGACCCCTATAGGGTTCCGACGGGATCCTGCTGGACCCTGTAAGGATCCTATAGGATCCCTATAGGGTTCCTATGGAACCGTGCAGGACCCTGTAAGGATCCTACAGGATCCCTATAGCGTTCCTATGGAATCGTGCAGGACCCTGCAAGCATTCTATGGGAACCCTGTAGGGTTCCGATGGGATCCTGCAGGGCCCTGTAAGGATCCTATAGGACCCCATATAGGGTTCCGATGGGATCCTGCAGGGCCCTGTAAGGATCCTATAGGATCCCTCTAGGGTCCCTATGGAATCGTGCAGGACCCTGTCAGGATCCTATCGGATCCCTATAGGACTCCTATGGAATCGTGCAGGACCCTGTAAGCATCCTATGGGATCCCCATAGGGTTCCGATGGAATCCTGCAGGGCCCTGTAAGGATGCTGCAGGATCCATATAGGGTTCCGATGGAATCCTGTAGGACCCTGTAAGGATCTTATAGGATCCCTATCGGATTCCTATGGAATCGCGCAGGGCCATGTAAGGATCCTATAGGATCCCTATAGGATTCCTATGGAACCGTGCAGGACCCTGTAAGGATCCTAGGACCCCTAGATGACTCCTATGGAATCGTGCAGGACCCTGTAAGGATCCTGTAAGATCCCTATAAGGTTCCGATGGAATCCTGCAGGGCCCTGTGAGGATCCTATAGGATCCATATAGGGTTCCGATGGAATCCTGTGGGACCCTGTAAAGATCCGATCGGATCTCTATAGGTTTCCGATGGAATCGTGCAGGACCCTGTAAGGATCCTACAAGATCCCTATAGGGTCCCGATGGAATCCTGTAGGACCATGTAAGGATCTTATAAGACCCCTATAGGTTCCCGATGGAATCCCGTAGGACCCTGTAGGGATCCTATAGGACCCCCCTCGGCATCCTATAGGATTGCGATGGAACCCTGTATTACAATCGGGTTCCTAGAGGATTCCTACAGGATTGCTATAGGGTTGCTAAGGATTCCATTGGACCCCAATAGTATTACACTCGGATTCCTATGGGATCCTGTAGGGCCCTGTAGGGATCCTATGGGATTCCTATAGGGATCCTGTGGGAACCTGTCGGACACTGAAGGGATCCTATGCGGACCCATAAGGAGCCCAATTGGATTCCTATTGGAATCCGATGGAATCCTGCAGGCCCCAGTAGGGATCCTATAAGACCCCAGTAGGATTCCGAGTGGAATCCTATGGAACCCTGTAGGACCCTGTAGGGACGCTATAGCCTTCTGGTGCGAGCCCCATCGGATTCCAATGGAATTCCTATGGGACCCTGTTGGACCCTGTAGGAACCTTATGGGTTTCCAATGAGTTTCTAATGAGATTCCTATGGAATCCTATAGGACCCTGTAGGGACCCTGTGGGTTCCCAATGAGATTCTACTTGGGTTCCTATGGGGTCCTGTAGGACACTGAAGGGGTGTCCATAGGATTCTAGTCGCATTACAATAGGATTCCCATGGAATCCTGTAGGACCCTGTAGGGACCCCATAAAATTTCCACTAGGATTCCAATAGGATTCCTATGTAATCCCCTAGGACCCTCTACGGACCCCATAGGATTCAATAGGATCCCAATAGCATTCCGACGGAATGCTGTAGGACCCTGCGGGGGCCCTATGAGGTTTTCTCGGGGATTCCAAAAGGATTATCATGGAATCCTGTAGGACCCTGTAAGGATCCTATAGGCTTCCTACAGGAGCCCACTTGGTGTCCTATGGGCTCCTGTAGGGCCCTGCAGGGATCCTATAGGATTCCAACAATATTCCCATGCAGTTCCTATGGGAACCTGTAGGACCCTGTAAGGATCCCAGAAGAATTCCGATTAGGAGACCTATGGAACCCTGTAGGCTTCTCTAGGAATCCTACAATATTCAAAACAAATCGGCGCAATCGAGGGATCCTATAGGAATCCTGTCGGATTCCGATAGGAATCCGATGGAATCCTGTAGGACCCTGACGGCGACGACCATCCCATCATAATCATCATTGTCATCATCATGATGATGATCATCGTCCGCCACTTCGCGCTCATCGTCCTCCTCATGGCCATCATGTGCGCCATCATCAGCATGCTCATCATCATCGCCACCATAATCATCATCACAATGACCAACATCACGATCGTAATCGTGATCATCATCATCGTCATCATCATCAGCATCATCATCGCCACAGCAATCCTGATCGTCATCGTCCTCATCCTCGTACTCACCATCCTCATTCGTCACCCTCATCCTCATCATCGTCCTCCTGCTCCTGACCCTCATCATCACCCCGATCCTCCTCCTCGTCCGCATCGCCCTCACCATTATCAGCATGACCCGCATCTTCGTCGGCATGTTCAGCCTCATCATCTGTCAGCGATCAACATCCCCATCATTGTCGTCCTCCTGCTCGCAACCCTCACTTCCTGGTCCTGCAGCTTCGGTGGAGCTCCCTGTGGGGCCAGGGCCACGATCCTCGAGAGGAATGTGCCGAAGTCGAGCCTCGGTGGAGCTCTCTGTGGGGCCAGGGCCACGATCCTCGAGAGGGGTGTGCCGAAATGGAGCCTCGGTGGAGCTCCCTGTTGGGCCAGGGCCACGATCCGCGAGAGGGGTGCGCCGAAATCAAACTTCGGTGGAGCTCCCTGTGGGGCAAGGGCCAAGATCCTCGAGAAGGGTGTGCCGAAATGGAGCCTCGGTGGAGCTCCCTGTGTGGCCAGGGCCACGATCCGTGAGAGGGGTGCGCCGAAACCAAGCTTCGGTGGAGCTCCCTGAGCCACGATCCTCGAGAGGGGTGTGCCGAAATCAAACCTCGGTGGAGCTCCCTGTGGGGCCAGGGCCACGATCCGTGAGAGGGGT